GAAACACTCTTCCTCAACCTTCTTGGACTTAGAAACATAGAGCTTCAATAACTGCGACCGCTGAATAATGCAACCAATGGGAATTATTGCAAATGACAGTTAATTCAACTACTGAATATCAAATCTACAAAATCCACTCTCCCTTGATGACTCGGTAATGCCCGGACGCTGATAACTTTATCACTATCCAAATCGATAAATCATACCGAGTACTCGACACGTCACATCCACTGTACGTATCGACGTCCGTATTTCAAGAGCCGAAGATTATCGGCCAAACAATTATGCAACACCATAATCCTTTACACGAAACGCTTTGATGTCCAATAAATAACAGCACGAAATGCGCAAATCACGGAAATCTATAATATCTTATGTAATTTCACCTGGTTTTACGTCAGAGAAAATATGTACATTATCTTTGGATGACGTACTTCCAAAAAGTGCCAGCGGTATTGAATGAACGAACGTATTTCAGAGGGAGATAAGGGACGCGATAGCAGTGACTGGGGGCCGCTGTTGCCAAATCGCACGAGAACCTTCTTTCATGAGAAGCTTGTAGTAAAATATTTGAATTCCGTGTAATACAGAAAAGGGTGTGAAGTTTGTTGGTACCTATTGGATCATCAATCATGCTCCACAACCTTGAAACTGTTAAAATGTGTTCCTGAAGTCTAAATGCTGTGTTAGTAACTTTTTTAAAGAATCTTCCTCTCTTACAGCGCATTGTGTATAATTTTTGATTCAACAGCTGAATTGGAAGGGACAATCGATAGACCGATTCGCGTTAATTCATGCAATCATACTACAATTTGCGACACCGGCATCTCAACATGCGCGCTGGGGGGAGGATGGGATCGGATCCGGCAGTCGGAAGAGAGCCTGAAAATGGAAAATAAGTCTACAACAGCGGCACCCCTTCCCCACGGCTCTGACGTCAATTCATTCATGGAAACCCTCCCCTACGGGTAATATGGCAACGCGACCCGATCTACCCCCACCACGTGTGCCCCCTGCCACCCTGCAATGTCGAGTTCAGGGTTCCGGCCGGGAAATTTCACGATCGTTCCTGGAAAGCTGAAGGCTTTATCGGAAAATGTACGAGGGGAGATCAACAAATCGGCGAACGGACAAGTAACGGGCAATGGTTGCTTTTCGTAAGAATCGTTATTTAAGAAGCTATATTAGGTTTTCGAACCAATTGAGAGTTAATTTATTATATCCGTTTTTGATTATTTTGCAGAGACTTTGCCTTCATAGGCATCACTTTGCTTCAAATTTCTGAACGATGCCAGATTCTTAGATGTTTCTTTTGCCTTGAAATGCATGAACCGAAGTACTATTTTCTAAATTAACTTATTTTGTATCTCTTATGAGTTACTAGATAAGGAAAACCTTCATAGGTTCACCCATCATGTTTAGTATCCCCCCATATTAGAATGAAAAAGGAAATTTATTACAAACAAGAAAAAAGACAGTACCTGGATCTGTGTTGAAGTTTCTTAAATAAAAAAAGCATAATATCTATAAAACCATAACTTCTTCTGTCATAATGGTAGTAAATCGTGAAAGCACCAAAAATGATCCAAAACTGCATGGTAGATCCAGAATAAAATATTACAAAAAGGATTCCTTCCAATAATTAGCTCTATCAACTACCATTAATTGTAAGACCAACTAAAAAAGGTTATCAGTAATGTCAGTATTTACACTGTCAAAATATCCTTCAAACGATATTCCAAAGCGGACAGTCTGTTTCAAAGCGTCTAATCTATTGAATTTGTCGATCATCAAAGTTAATGTCCCCCTTGAAACTATTAAAAATTATCTAATACTATTTAAGAAGTTATATTCTTTAGAGTAAACGAGGAATATGTAATGGCCTTTATTTTAACCGTGTCTAATATTTTACTACTTTATTTGCTGAGATGCTAAACATAAACTCATGCGAAAATTACAAATGTCAGGAGCAATAGGCAGTGTTTGCCGTACTACCTACAAAAATCCTTATTTAAATAGATTTTGCCTTCACATACTTTTCTCGCCAAAAAAGTCAACAAATAATGTCAGTTTTACTTCTTATGAACATGTGGGCAAGCAGTAAAGTAATTTTTCAAGGATACTTTTATTTTTGTTATATAGGAATTAAATTCCCAACATGTAAAAATTTAATGTGTACTACGATCCGAGTCAATTCCTCTGGGTGAAGAAGTGCCCCAAGGTTCTATTCTTGGCCCTCTTTCAATGTATGGCCCTCTATACATCAAATATTTTTTATTTATTTATTTATTTATTTATTTATTTATTTATTTATTTATTTATTAGCAATTGTAAAATTATGATGCATACAGGTGATACACAATTGTGGTAATGTTTTACCCTAGATGCAGCTGCTGTTGAATTGTTATTTATTATTCTAAAAATCATGTTGATCCCAATGCTACTAAAACCAAAGATCTTTTATTTGGTAACAACAGGACTATGTAACCAACTACACTTCTTGAGTCTCCTGATGAAGCAAGATCTAATTTCTGATGTTTCTCTTATATTTCACAACCAAAATATATAAGAGGGTTCGGTCTGCCCTTGCATATTATCAAAATTTGCTTATTGTTCGTCAATTGATTGAATAAGGAGAATCGTTTTCTTCTGCAATCAGCAACATTATTTCAAAGAAAAAACAACTGCAACCATTTATATCACGTAGAGTCAGTAAATTTATTTATTTTTTTTAATCTGATGATTACTAGTACGTTAACCTTTATCGAACAGAAAAGAAAACAGTTTTACATAAATAGACAGCCCGAAGGTGTTTTGGTTCCCTACTAACAGGCATTTTTTTTCGGATTGGAAACCAGCTACACTGCGTAAAGATCTGGAAAGGTGAATAATCCTGTGACGCTCGTGATTCGGCCGAGTATTTCGGCCGCTGTAGTAATCCGTTTGTTTGGGACGTTCGCCGATTATTTTGGGAATTACATAACGACGTACGGACGTCACAAGGAGCGCCTGGACCGGTGGTTAGCAAGACGCCTGACTCACGCCGTGTTAAACCTGCGCCAGCTGATGCGAGTGTATTTTCGACAGTGATGCTATCGCGCGCCCGTTATTTTTAAAAAGCGTTAACAGATGTTTTTTCAAAAATAGTACTTGTTATTATTTTGCCGGCCGATGCGTAGGATCTATTTTCGGGGCCGGTTTGGTCACTGCAAGCCGAGAATTCCATTGCCGATGCATTCGATATGTGGCCGATGCTAACGCTCGTCGGGTTGGGATACTGGAGGTGTCCTAGTGGACGCTGGACGTAAACAAATAAAATTACGACCAGACAAAGAGTTGAAAACAAAAGAAAATCTTGTATATCGGACTGAGAACTGAAGATACATTCTTCTGTCTCTTTATATTTGCTATAATTATTGAGTTGGCAAGATTTACAGGCCTTCTTGACAGTTGTAATGGCTGAATAATTTCCAGTCTAGTTGACACTAAAGATTTAAAAACTCGGAGTCCTGGAAAATTGGAAGGAAACTGACTGATGCTTCTGATACCAGAGCAACATTCTCTTCAATTTTTTCCAAAAGCTGGAATAGTCTAATGATTACTGTATAGTGGTTAAAACCTAGATACTAGATTTTAACAAAAGTTCAATGTTACAGAATTTTTTATATTTTTTCCGATATTTCAGGGGAAAAAACGGATTTTTTTTGAAATACAATTCTTCCTGAAATGTTGGAACTCTGGTTGTATCGTCGCCGGTTTCGTTTCGAAAGAGATATCGCTCTGTTCTTAATAAAAATCTGTTTCCTCTGAGGAAAAGAGTGATATGTCTCTAGAAACGTCAAAAAGTTTAAACCAATTCCGTGGCAACCAGTCCAAGCATAATTATTGAGCTGATTAATATTTAACAAGTATATTCTGCTTTAATCGACTATGTCAAGTGTAAAAGCAACGATATCTTTACGACGTATAAATTAGTTTACAATATATTATAATGAACACGCCATATGGTCAACAAAATTGAAGATAAGAAGACGAAGTATCGACCCTACCCAAAAATTTAGATGTCATATTGTTTTTAAGAAGCGTTGTGGTGCAAAATCCCTTTGTTTTAGGTACATTTTCTGCGAAATAATTGTGAAAGTACCGTCAATGATTACTTGGAGATAATTTTAATTGCAATAACGACTTTCGTGTACACAATATATTAGTTACTATTAAAAAAAAATTGATTTTCCAACGCTGAGCTTCTAAAGCTACTAATGAAGGACGCAAAACAATAACAACATTTACATGTGTTTACAAATTTTTCGATGCAACTGATGTTGTTTAAAAAATGCTTCGGTTAAAAATATATAAATGCCTACACAATATTTTGTATGTGCACACGCTGTGAACTATTCGTTGAGGAATATTTCGAAGTAAAAGAATCGTTCCCGTATTAATCCTTCCCAGACTTAACCGAGCGTCCAAAGCTAATTAAGAAGTGTCATCAGAAGTGTTCATAATCTCTGAACGCGCGGCCATCTGTTCGAAAACGCCCCGATAGCGGCGAAACGGCGGCTCGCAGGCCTCTCCTGACGGCACCAGCGAACCCCCGGGCAAAAAATACAACCTGTGGCGGCTCCCCCATTCAAATCGGGCACGTGCTACGCTCAAAACTCGCCACTGAACCCCCATTAAAACAACCACAATCCTGAAAAACACCGCACGCTCCCTATAGCATATTTAAGCGCCAGCGTTACGTCACCGCGACGTCACGACCTCGGCGTGGTGGGGGGCGGACCGTGGAGGGGCGATCACTCGGCCTCTCCGCTCGATTGGCCGGCCCCTCGCTGGCGACTTCCTAATATGGAACAGTGACTTCATTCATAAAACCAAACCGCTCGCTGCGCCGAGACTAGTTCCCGAGATCGAGCCGGCCGAGACAGTGCGTTCTTAGTCAAAGTCGATTTGGTATCGTTGTGCGCGATAGGCGCGCTTCCCCCCGTAGTGTGGCCCAGTGTCGAACCTGCCTGTGGTGGCGGAGAATCAACCAAACTGTGGCAAAATGATCATGGACACTTTAGACACGCTGCCTAATCAGCACCACCACCACCACCACCACCATCATCACCATCATTCCTCTGCGTACCTGCTGACGGAGAGCGCCGCGGCGGCGGCTGTCCACCACTTCAACGTCCTCAGCTTCGACACCTGCCTGTATAAGACGGGCTCCAGCTCGAACAGTGGTGGCAGCCCCATCCCCGCTTCGATTTGCACCCCCACGGACGATCCGGCACCCTCCGAGGCTCAGCCGGGCGACCTAAACACCCCCGTCACCACCTCCGGTGACATTCCGAGCTTTTTCGGACCTAGCACCGTGGTGGAACCACCCCCCATTACAGGTTAGTTCTTTTCTGACAGGAAAATAATACGCGGTAACAGGTGCAGAGCGTTGGCTCAGGTCTATATATACATCGACGCGCGGAGCTGTGTGCAAGCCGGAGTACGAAAATAGCTTTTCCGTCATTATGTTATGTCTATACTGGATCAATTATGACCGAGAAATGGGCGAATATAATGTTACACCAAGGTGCGAATCCGTATCAATTTCTCCAATAAATCCTAAATTGCTGCCACCAAACTTACATTAACTTAATTGGCGCTAATTTCTCGATAACGCCTATCAAAACACACATCCAAGGGTTTATGAATAGATTACTAGCAAAGAGATAAACTGCCATTCTCAATGATAACGCAAATACATTAATTAGGTGCCGCGACAAGTGCCAAATCATTGATTTCAATTTTTTGTTATCGCACCACATCTGAAATAATACCAAACCGCTAATTTATCTCCTCCAAAATCGTTTATTTTGTAGCGTATGCGAGGTGAAGTATCGATCAGTTCGACTTGTTCGCCTTTAAAATTTAATTTTCCCTTCAATCCGTCCATTTCGACCTAGTGTCAAGGTTGGCGTGTCGAACCTAATTGTTCCTGGTCGATTTTCAATTGTTTATATAGGCAACAAGTGTGCACATCTGGCGGATCTTGGTTCGCCATGAACGAACGGTAAAGTGTTCGGCGCCGGTGCCGGTGCCATGTCGAATTTCCACCCCGGATCAATACCGTGATAAACACCATTCAAGTTTAGACCATTCAAGAAAATTTTACTATGATATAACAAAGATGGCGGCGGCCATGTAATGTCAAGTACACGGCCTACTGGGGTGCCAATCGATGACAGTTGAACGTTCTCTTGTAGAGGCGTTTGATTTAAAATGTACGGATGGCGTTTTCCTAGAATTAAGCGGCGAATAAATTTTATAAAATCCGTATTCTAGTATCCCAATGACAGTACAGGAACTTGACGGATTTGAAAAAAAAAACATATAAATAGTCCATTTTCTCGCAAAAACTGTTATAAATAACCATGAGTTGGGAGATATCTGAAAATTTAACCGCAAATTATCATCACACTTGCTAAAATGATTCTGACCGCAAGTTATTAAAAGCAAAGTCATTGTGGGATTTGTAAATACCCTTAAGAATGTTTGGACAGCATCCAGAGAGCCTTTCACATTTTTTAGGTGCGCAGACTTGGGAAAACACGGTTTCGACGCAGAAGACTTTGATATTTTTAAGCAAACACTACTTAAGCTTAGTATAAGAAATAATATAATGCAAGATTGCATCTTTTATTGATCCTGATTGATATATATTATCAAATATGTCCAGGTACATGTAAAAATTATCTTTATAGTTGACGATAAATTAACAGTATATTTAATCTCCAACTAAAATTTAAATATTTTCGTGTTTATGTCACATTCATTAGATATGTTTATTATATCTGGTGATAATTTAATTCTAAGTATATTTGTTCATAAATATTAAACCAGAACAGGAATAAAAATAAAAGCTTTATATAAATCTCGTTACTCAAACTAGTCTCATCAACTTCAACAGAAAATAAAATCTGGGAAATCTACCTAGAAATATCAAATAACGAATTTCATTCATTCCGTATGTGCGCGCGCGATAAAAGTCTCAATGAAAAACCGACAATCAGCACTTGCTCAGCCGTTTCGAGAACGTGCTCCACCATCTAAACTAAAGCGATAACCGTAACGATAACACGGCAGTACATTCTTTCATTCTTTCCAGGTTCCTTAGACCCTGAAGAGCTATCCATCGAACAACAACAACAACAACACTCGAGCCCACACCACTCACCAACGAGCAGTCAAATCACGGAACGCGCCACACCTCAAGAATCCGCCCTATCTCCCAGCCTAAGAGAAGAAGAAAACACAAATCACAGCACACTAAGCATGTATCCTCACTCAAGCAACAACAACATGGCGAAACTGCAACACAGGAGCGTGTACACATCTGCGGGCAGCCCCAATCTAGCGGGAAACATCCAGATGCAGAACTCCAGTCCTCTGGGACTAGGCCAGAACATGGGGCATTCACCTTCAGCCGTGAACCAGTGGTTGTTGAGTAGCGGCGACAAACCCATGTACCCTTCCATGTTCGGGTTGCTCCAGGGTACGTCGCAGAGCCCGCAGCAGCAGTACCCGTCAGCCACCCCCAGTCCCGCCGGCACCCAATACGACGATAGATCGCAAGCCGAACAACTGATGCTGACGATGGACTGTACGACGAATCTAGCCCTGAAACAACCTCCGTCGTACCCCAGCTGTTCCGCGACAAGTACCACCTTGCAGTTGGACATGCAGCAGCAGCAGGACCTGGTGTACTCGAGGGTGGGCCAACCGCTGGTGGCCAGTACCGCAAAGTACCAGTGGGAGACACAGGAATACGGCTCCCCGCAGAACACCGGTGGCTTGGTGGTGCCGGGGCCATCGAGCCTGGTGCCCAAACAGGAACCGTTCAGTGCTACGTGTAGTGGTGACCTAGGACAGAGCTCGAGTGCTGCCTATGGCGTGCAACTGGCCGAGTACAACCCCTCGACGAGCAAAGGACACGAGATCCTCAGCCAGGTGTACCAACAGAGTCCCGTGCCGCTCAAGTTAGTACCGGTGAAACCGCGGAAATACCCGAACAGGCCGAGCAAGACGCCCGTGCACGAGAGACCGTACGCGTGCCCCGTGGAAAACTGTGATCGGCGGTTTTCTCGGTCCGACGAACTCACGAGACACATCAGGATACACACGGGACAGAAGCCCTTCCAGTGCAGGATATGCATGAGGAGTTTCTCCAGGTCGGACCACCTCACGACGCACATACGGACGCACACCGGCGAGAAGCCCTTCTCCTGCGACGTCTGCGGCAGGAAGTTCGCCAGAAGCGACGAGAAGAAGAGACACGCAAAGGTAAGACTCTTAAATATTTCGAGGGGATGGTATATTATTATTTTACATTTGGTACTACTTGCACTACTGCAGCAACGCGAGAAATTCATTTCAATGATAAACTGACTTATTCCTTGCAGGATTATTTGTCATAATTTGACGTGACCATAAAAAAATTCACTGTCAAGGACAAAAAATTAGACATTCCTGCGAGAGAGGGAATCGTATGTTATTATTTGACAACTGGGTACTACTTGCACTGTTACACCAAAACAATGAATTCGATTCAATAGCAAATTGATTAAACAGAATTACTTTTTATAATTCTTAACATAACCATATAAAAATCCAACATCTATTGTATTCGTACAAAAAGTCACTTTGTATAACGAGAATTATTTAACTGAATTTGTATTGGTTGTAGGGAAGCTTGCATTAATTCACTATCAATGAAAAAAAAATTGATCTGTTTGTACAGCAAAGTTTAAAGACTTGAAGGTAATGAAAATGATACACAATTAAAAACAGATTATTTTAAAATAAAATGTTAGTACCTTGATAATGTCTACAGTAGTTATCTTTTCTACCTTTTACTTGGTACAAACCAATGTCTCAGGAGAATTTGTAAATATTGATTGTTTCAATTTAGAAGTATCTACCAAACCTGGGGTTTGTATATTTTTACGTACTTAGAATTCTTTGATAATGTTTATAAAAAAAAAAACAATTGAATCTCTATAACATTCCAACAACTCTGCTTTTCTTATGGATACTCAATATATTTGTACATACATTTTCTTAGGTTTACAGGGGTATAAGGTTTTTCTCTAATAATAAAATGATTCTTATAAGAGAAACTTTATGTAGAATAAGGGGTTTTTTGAAGAAAAGTCTGGTTGGTGTCTCCAAAACGTAATATTATTGGTTCTTCCAAGAATTGCTACAATAAAATCGTAAGAAAATTTCCTACAACTTTGAGCCATATAATTTCTTTAAGTGCAAAAGCAAATGGGATCGAATGTTGCCTATACGCGATTAAAGAAGATAGAATTGGATTAGAATTTGATTTTGTGGGTTCACAAATAAGCTAAAATAATAATCTACCATTCCAGAACTTATTTTAATATCTATTGGCGATTCTTCTAACCCCCTGCAACTAAAATCACACCCTACACCTTCAGAACTGGGGGTAGAAGCGTCCGCTAATACCAATAAGCCGCCCCTTCTTCCGATCCTCATCGGCTCCCTCTGTTCCAGGTCCACCTGAAGCAGCGGATGAAAAAGGAGAACAAACTAGGCAACAACAACGCGCCGCAGTCCTCGTCGTCGGCGTCGTCCTCGGTACAGTCGTCGCAGGGCTCGCAGGGCCACCACCACCACCTGCACCCCCACCAGCAGGTCGCGCAGCACCTCCACCAGTCCCACACCGTGACGAGCGAGGAGGGTCTCAGCCTCCCCGTGGTCACCAGCACCCTGTGAGACTTGCCATCCACCGGGATAGAACCCGGTGAGTGCGTGCTGTTGATACGCGACGACTGTGATCTAGGCGTGCTAGACCTTGACCAGCCCAGGATAATCTTTCTTCAAATCGAATGAGATACACTGAAGATACCTGATTTATTGATCTCCAGAATTAGAGAGGCCTATCATATAGCGCCCCTATGTCTTAAGTCTGTGCCATTATCTGTGTCAAGAATATTATTATTTATGTAGAGGACGGTGATGAGGAGTGCGCTTGGACCTCGAGGACAAGTCCCAGGTGTCTTGATAGTTGAGAAGGCAAGTATAAATGAGTTTTTGACGCGGCGATCATTAATAACCGGACCAGATATACAGGGTGGACAAGAACCGATGGCTGGCCGCCATCGCAGGAAAAAGAAAGAGCAGATAAGAAATCGGAAGCTCTTTGACTTGAAATCCCATCTTGATGAGTTATTTTTCCAATTTCACGCATGTCTTTTTACATCGTACGAAAGTTCTTATTTTTCTCGACAACTTTTATTAAAAAACTTTTTCGATATCTCTTCCCGTTCAGAAGATAAAATGATTTGTATGAAGATGCGCAGTCGTTATATCAAGTCTATTACTGATTTTAACAGGCGTAGAAAACAAAATAATTCCAATGCTCATCATATTAATTTTGACGTCTCTACAAAGCGGTACTGCTAATTTCGTACCTTCCCGAACTTACCCCCCAAAAAAAACAGAATCATCTACTTTTTCGTGGTGTAATGATTTTTTTTTGCACGAAATGCTAATAATGGATATAAACATTGGAAGTATCTTATTTTTCACGGCAACTCTGATAAAATCAGTAACAGACTTGATCAAACCAGTACTTTCCTTGACTTATCATTTTTATCTTTTAAACGGGAAGAGATATCGAAAAACTTTTTTAACAAAAGTTGTTGGAAAAACTGAGAATTTTAATATAACGTAAAAAATTGTGAAATCGGGAAATTAGTCGATAACTTATATCACCATAAAAGTCCTAGCTTGAGATTTCCTATTTGCTCTTTCTGTTTTTCCTGTTATCACGGTAGTTGGCTATGAAAATATAATTATCTAGTAGGTCTGGTAAATTTTTGAACAAATGATGATATTAAATAGCGTAACTCTCTGTATATTATCCAAATCTGAGTCTATTCGGGAGATGTTAACGGTGTACATGTTGAAATGGACCACCCTGTATATGGCGAATTCGGATGAGACGGGCAATTTATCTTTAGATTGTAAAAATGCTAAGTGCCTTATTATACTATTAAGAAACCTGTGGCTTTCTTTTTTTCGAGGCGTCGCCGAAATAATTTATATCTATTTTCTTGGTAGATTTATGAACCCGAAGACTAAATATATGTCACGTTAAATGTTGTAAATACCCGACATGTCACCAGCGATGGTATTTTAAGCCAGTTAAAGCTGCCACAGACTGAATTCTGCGGTTCCGCCGCCCAAAAAGGTTGTTGTTAAAATTAAAGTCCTATTTTTGTATGTTTCAAAATAATTGTTGATCGTATGTATATTTTATTTTTAATAGTGTTCTGAACACAAACGTATAGTTTCTTTTTAACAATCTAGGATCAGTAACAAGAGCTTTAATTAATTTTTTAGGTTTAAAACTGTTTTTTAAACATCGTTGCCAAATAACACCTTTTAAACCGTTTTTTAATACATTCCGTACTATTTTTTTTATTAATGATCACTTATATACTTTATATTTATTTCATTAGCTATTAGGAACACAGTCAATATTAGATGCAATCAATAGTGATCAGGATCTAAAATGCACACTGCGACATGCTGTTTGGATAAAAAAAAAAAGTTTGGATAATATCGAGTTTGCCTTAAGAAGTGTCTTTTCTATAGTAGGATTTTAAAAATATTGTCCGAGGCCATGCTGTTAAAAATATAGTTACCATATACTCTAATGACGATCAGACAGGCGTTCACTACTTCTCTCGTAACTTCAAAAGCTCTGTGGACTCGAATGTCGAACGCTAATTATCTACTTTCCCTCGCTGAAAACAAAAACATCGCTCAAGTCACTTCAGGACAGTGGAGTGCATATGTCTGAGTCGTTGTTAAACTGTACACACACACACACATACACAGACGAGTAGTTAGAAGAGGTACGAATATATAAAGATGACAAAATGATTATCTGTTGTCCCGTGGTGCTGTCCACATTAAAAAAAGCAAACAATATTTAGGCCTAAATAATTTCGTTCAAGTATTTTGTAAATTAACGACGGATCTTGTATAATGTGTACATAAAAGAAATAATTTAAATAACATTATTAAGTTTGTAAATATTATAAATATTTAATTATTATTATTAAAAATGAATTGTTAAAATGTCGGCTGTTGTATTGAATAACTGTTGTTTAAGAAAGCTCACTTATGAATAATAATTCTTCCTTCATTTTTGCACATACCTATCCAGTTAGGTCTCTATTTTTATATCCTAAAATATTAGATGTTTCCTAAAATGTACCTACCTAAATTATGTGGGATAAACGGACTGGCAGGCGTAAAGCCCCTCTCACGTGCGTTCTGATCAAACGAAACAGAGGCAGAAATTCTGCAAAGAGGCCTTTAATTTGGCGGTCCGTTTCCGACAAAACCGTTAAATTTTTCGTCAATCATGAGGCTGTTAATTAATCATCTTATTGTTAATGTGATATTTGAATACCTAGGTGGATATTTGAAATTACCTTTTCTGTCTCATCGAGATTATTCGAATCTATTTATTTCTACATGTTGATTGTCAAAAAAAAAGTTCAGTTATCAAGTGAATAACGCAATTTATTGATGTATATTCATGGTTGTGTCAGCTATTATTAAATCTTCTCACTGAATCAGGAAAATAAACTGCTGATGATAAATAGTCAATCGTTTTATTGCGCATTCACTCAAACCCACTACCTCCCCCCTCCCCCCATACAGGGTAATTAAAAACCACGAAGTAATAGAATTATCTCCGCATAAAACCAAAAATGCTCAACAAATTGCTACGCCATATGCTCAATGTACTTACTTACAAATACTTCACAATCTAAGTGCTGATACTGAATAACATTAAATATAATAATATAAAAACAATAATATAACTGAAGAGCTGGTCAAAATTCATCTCGTTCCCGACTTGAGCATTTTGCAGTAGTTTAAAAAATTCACAATTATTCTATTTACTACACTCAAACTAGTGATTAGCAGCAAATGAACTGAAAGGTAAGTATTCCTTAAATTACTTTTTTTATAAGTAATTTAATAAATATTCAACTTTTTACTCAATTGTAAATATATTAATAGTCCAACCAAGTTACACTTGGAGAAAAAAAAATTGTTGATTTTTATAAGTAGAAAAAAGTAAAAGGGCTTATAATAAACCTAAAACAAATAAATGCGTGAGGAGGGGTGGCGGAGGGTTAATTCGGGTGTTGAAAAGTTGTGAAAAATTGTATCATTGGGATTTCTGACGAAAGTCAAACAAAAAAGCATCCAATACAAAAGCTGTAGATCATGCAAAATCTACAACTTTTGTAGAGGTCAATTTTTAAGATCACCTCAAAATTTCCGAGAAAAATGCGAAAAACAGGTTTTTATTTCTCATTTCCGCAAAAATAATTTAATTTTGGCGAAACTTGGTGAGTCTGTCTACCTTTCTGTGTCTTAAATAACTACAAATTTTTTTAGATAAAAAAATCAATAAGTTTCTGAGATATTCATTTTATCCGGTCTGAAACACTTTTTTCCAAAGAAAAATTGTACTTAGAAAAATCATCGTACAGAGTCCTGCCGGTGATATTTTTTTTCGTGTTGACATACTTTTTGGTAAAATCTGTAATCACAGTTCAAAAACATGCTCAAAAATGCAAAAATAAAATAAAAAATGACGCAACAATGAATTTTTCAGTAATTATTGTTGAAAATTTGTTTAAATTTAAAAAATTCAAAAACTGATTACACCATTTAATTCTACGGAAAAAGTACAAAAAAAACTGTCTCATTGTTTGATCTAAAACTTTATTTTTGTACAGTACTGCTATAAACATAAGTCGAATAGTGAATAAATAAAATAAATAATTTCTTATTTTTTTTTTAATTTTGATGAATGATTTTTCTTTGAAAACAAAGTGTTTCAGACCGGAAAAAGTGAATATCTCGGAAACTTCTTGATTTTTTTATCTAAAATAATTTGTGGATATTTAAGACACAGAGAGGTATACATACTTTCACCAAGTTTCGTCAAAATTAAATTATTTTTGCGGAAATGAGAAATAAAAAACGAAATATCAGAAAAAAACATGTTTTTCACATTTTTCTCGAAATTTATGAGGTTATTTTAAAAAGTTACCTCTACAAAAGTTGTAGATTTTTGCATGATCTACAACTTTTGAATAGAATACTTTTCTGTTTGACGTAAATTTTCGCCAGAAATCCCAATGTTACAATTTTTTACAACTTTTTAACCCCCGCCTCCCTTACTCACACATTTTTTTTTTTTTTCGTTTATTATAAGTCCCTTTTCGAACTTTTGTATATCAAGTTGGAGATTTTGATACATTTTTTCTCGGAAATGTTGAGTTCAGAACCCATGTCAAGGTTTTTCTGTTTATTTCAATCGTCTGTTAAAATTAAGGCAGTCAAACTTTTAACACCCTGTATATTAACGGAGGAAGAGGATGCTTCAAACTTTCCAGTAAAAAATTTGCGAATATGACCCATTTTCTTTATTTTGGGGAGCTAGAATATCATTTTTGGAGCTGATACTCCCAAGCGACACAACATTGATACAATATTGGCATTCCAGTATTACTTATCTTTTACAAAGTATGAACTGTTCTTCAGAAGTCAAGGCCACCGAAACAGTAGCCACAATACCCAAAAACTTTCATCCCAACCACAACAATGACTTATGTGGGGAAGTACTGGCGTACTATTATTTCATAGACCAGTTTAGCGGGTGTTTCGTTTTGTTTACAAACCTAATTCGTTTCTTAATCACGAGCAGGAAATTCCTTTTCCCGTTGATTTCTGTGCGGTTAACGACGTTGTTTCTAGTACCTATACAAATAACTTAACGCGTTACAATCCCGTTTAAAATTCTAGCATACGCATGTCATATATTTTTTTTTACTGTCGACAATTTGCAGTTATTATCCACTTTGTATAATTGCGTTCATTTCACGGTTTAAGTCTACGAGATACTTGTCGAAATAAAAGGAGTTTTAAAGTATACAGCGGACTGTTCAACAATGCATCATGCGCGAAATGTCACAATAAATATATTATTGTGTCCTCGGTTGTTTTGTATCGTATTTATCTACGGTATGTGGTTTGGACCCATCTCATTGAGCATTTAAACATGATATTCGTCACGGTTGATTCCACCTGGCTATATGGGTCTCTGCTTACGGCACTTTCTTATAAAGAAGCCTTTTCGACTCGGAATGTGAAAATATTTTCTGATGACTCGACCAATTCCCTGCTAAAAGTATCGTCGAATTGATTTATTTGTAGCATTACTTCAATTTAGTCAGATATTTTGTCCCGCTTAAAAGGAAAAATCATACCGAGTCTTTAAACCTCAAAAAATAATTTTTGAAAAAATTGAGCATATTTATTTTTATTTCTGATTTCAGCTACTGCTATGTTTGGCAGAAAACGAACAGGTTTTAGGGTAAAAAATGTCTTATAAACGCCTATACATTTATATTGCATTAGATTAGTTTTTGTAGCTCTGATTGCGACATATGTGAAGACGCGGTAAGTACTGGGCGCGGTATCATCCTAACCATGAACAATTTTGTGCAAAATGAATACGGATACTGTATCCCAAAATAATGAAACAAAATTCATATTCTTTAACTAATTCAGATTTTAAAAAAATCACTAAAACAGGTCAATTAATAAAGAGAAATTGTAACTTTTCTGCAATATTTTCTATTTTTTTAGCCTGTAACATTGACAGACTGTTGTCTGTAGCCTGTTTGACAGACCTGTAACATTGCCGACATTTTTTTAATATGACCCTCTATATTTTATAATATAGATAGTCCTTCTGAAGACGAATTTAGCGATATGATTGTGTGTTTTTTTGACTTGCTACCATAATATGTTATGTATTAATGTAGACCAATAAATATTCTATTCTATTCTATAAGATTATTCGTACTTTTGTTGTCACAGTTGTCAAAAAAATGTAAAACATTGTCTTTTACGTCGTACTACTACGACTATTTCAAACAATCATAGTCTCTTCTGTACTTTAAAAAACGTACCTACTCTTTATTAGGTAATCTTTTTCTACATACTTTAAAGCTTTCTTTTCTAAAAAACATATGGATAAACACATAAAATTCACCAGAGTACCTTAGGTGTAACGTGAATGGTTTTAGTTCCAATTCATTTGTTGTTAAATTATTTTGAAAAATGGTTGCCTCTTTAAGCGAAAAACAAAGAATTGAAATTTTAATTATGATTGGATGCGGATAAAATCCGTAGTCAACAGGAGGTATATGACTTATTTCATCATAAGTTTCCAGACCAGAGAATTAGTCGAGCTGCAATAAGTAAATTATCCAAAAAGTGAAGAAACTGGATCAAAAAGGCGAAGAACGGTAAGCAAAAATGATCGTAAAAATGTGATGCTCGCCGTTAATGAAAATCCTCACTCATCAATTAGATCTATCTCAGCCAACTTCAACTTGTCGAAGTCCTCAATTCACAGAGCTCTGAAGTCTCAACATTGGCATCCTTACAAAGTTAACGTCTTTCAAGAACTATGGACAGATGACACAGACAGAAGATTACAGTTTTACGAGGAAATTAGAAAATTTGAAAGACAACACAACTTAAAAAAAATCACATAAGTTTCACTAACGAAGCAACTTTTTGCTTAAACAACCTTATACCTTTAGAAGGGCTATAGCTTATGTATTTATTTATTTAAGTTACACCACTGACAGTTAAAACCAAATAATAGGCGGGAGAAATAACTAATAAAAATAGATGCATTAGCAAAATCAGATTACTAAAGCACAAGAGTAAAAAAACAGTTAACTATAACCTAACTTTATAAAACAAGTATTTCACCATGTTTTCTCCAACTTCTTTACATTGAACAGCAAGTAATGTATAAACGTCACCTTTCTCATTTCATCACGTATTAATACATAGTCAGTCAAGATCGCTATCTTCGAAAAATCAAAAGAACAAGCAAATGAAAGATATGCACAGCTCCTAATGTCATGGTTTCATGTAGAGTGACAGATAGTTCGTTGCTGCATATATTACACAAAATTGAAAACAACAGGGACTATAGAACATATTTGGAAATATCATTTTTTTTTTTTTCATTTGTCGACTGCAAAAATTTAAGGCGCAGCAATATGTTCTAGGAACATGGAATATATGAGAGACCAAACTAGAATCGTTAGTTTGATAATTTTAGTTCTAATTTATTTCAATTTCCACACTGCTCTCTCTATGCACACTATTCTATAGATTCGTTTAAATACGAGATTAATAATTGAATACAAAGTCTAATAAATTGTGACACATGATAGCGAATACTTTTTGTGACGTGACGTGACAATTTAGTAGACGTGCTCAAATAATTTTATTATGCATACTTTTTTCTTGAAGGGTGCGGAAGATAAATTAACAACGATATTAATCTCTTGTACGAATTTTAAGTGACAATCCTTCGTAATTCGTCTTGTATTGTACCTAGGTGTTCGTTTATAGACAATGCAAATTCTCATTAGAACATTATCCAGTTATCTCAACATTTCTCAAGAATATTTGAAAATGTAAAGGTCAGGTCACTTAGAAGCTTTCAGAATAATAAGTAATTTAATAAATAATTAAAATAAACTCCTA